CCAATTTAGTCCAGTGGTTCAGGGTTACATAATGTCATTATATGCATGCAGTCGAGATAGTGTATTGTTCATTTCTGCCTAACTTAGGCTTGGTAGCAAACTACTCCCAAATGTACAGAGCTTTTACCAACAAAGCGTTCATTTTCAATCACCTTTGTGGGTCATCTATGTTTGTGCTTCTTTTCCTCTTTATCATGATTATGAAAGAATAGCCCTTATCTCAAACATAACAATCATCTGGCAGAAACAATGGAAAAAATATAGAACATAAAACTCATACACTTGTCATGAAGCTCATAAAAATTCTACCCAGCTGTTGTGTACATTTATTTCTGCTCATTGTATTTGCCAAAGCCAGTAATGCAGCAAAATCTGACGTTAGAGAGGAGAGAAATATTCTCTTTTCACTGGTTACCAAAGAGGCACCAAAAGGGAGGGGAAGGAAATACATATGTTTGAACAAATAATAAAATCTACCACATAGAGGAGTAGGAAAAGAAGCTAAGTATGTCCCTTCTCCTTCACGTGTATCTAAATGTCCCTCATTCCCTGTGAGATGGATTTTTTTAAGTTCTTAAGAAATATGAAAAATTGAGATACTTAATGGTTGAAAAAACTATCTAAAGAGAAATTAATCATGCAGATAATGCATGATATGCTTAATATTAGATATCTCAACTATTGTTAAAATGAACATGATATTAAATTTAGCTAAAAATAAGGTGGCTGAACTATAGTTGGTAGTATTTTGATTTGCCACATGATACATTTTTCCATTTATTTTTGTCCTTACCCTTTATCCCTTGCAGATAAAGATAAGAGCAAAAAGAACTTCATGTGACTTGCCGAATGGAGGTTTCAACCCACAGAAAAGAAGATTTTCTTGAAAGACAAGGCTTTAAATTGCAAGAACTATGATCTGAAGTGAGAACACATTTTTAATTTTAAATCTTGCCTGTAATAGACACAATCAAGCTATAAGAGCCCTCTTAGTAGAGGGCAGTCCGGATGGAGAGGAGAAAATGGGGCAGGGTCCTTCCCCAGTCCTCCCAAAGGTTCAGGTGCTCTCCAGAGAAGGGAAGGAATGAGAGCAGGACACATCTGAATTGCCTAAATTTTCCCCAAAGTGACCACATTTTAACTGATAATTTAGCTAGTAATAAATTACCTGCAAAAAGCAAGATTGCACTTTCCACATCAGTAAACATAGGGACTTCAGAGCTAAATACATTTCAGTAATGATTAAATAAATATAGAGGCATGTTTAAAATCATGTTTGCATGTGTCTTACCTATTACATAGAGTTTTAATAAATATAATCTGATATAGCCTAGAGGCCATTCTTTTTTACATCTGAAATCTGAAAATGTCCATTGTTTTCATTTGCTGATCCGTTTTCAGAAATCCATTTTCAGAAATCCATTTTCAGAAAAAGTGAACTAAAAACAGTATATGGCTTAGATTCTATATATAAAGATGAAGACTGGAATGAAAAGTAAAGCTCAAGGACTCACCCTTCACCCAATCCAGTTAAACATCTTTGCAGTCACATTTTGTACGAAAAGTAATTGTTTGAAATACGAAATAATGGAATATCTAATATTTACCCACTTTAAAGTAGACAAAAAAGCATGAAATGAATACTTGATGTGATAAAATTTAATTTTGTTTTGGATATTTATGAAAACCTCTGTTGAATCTGAAGTTTTAATATGTTAGTGTTCTCTATCCTGCAACCATGTGTGACCTTCTCACCATGATCAGTTAGAATTACCTGAACTTACTGAAACATCAAATATGTTTTAACAGCCAACATTCTTAAAGGATAAAGTTAGGAAATGTCTCCTGATAGGTAGGGCAAGTAAAGGAAACATGATTATTTTTATATCTTAGTCAAGAAATATTAAATCTTATATTAAAAACTGATAATATTTGACACGTGTGAGTTGGAAAGAAAAAACAACAAAACATGGTGAGAAATGAAAAGATCCAGATACTTACTAGACACAGAGAGGTTTGAGATACAAAGGCAGATAGACAAATTGTTGGTGAGAATATTTGTTTTATCCAAATAAATTAGACTTAGAGTTATACACAATGAAATGGTAAACTAGCAAAAAAAAAAAAAAAAAAAAAAAAGCACAGAAGGGATCTTGCACAAGCCTTTGGGAGGGAAGAGCTGAGTCTACAGAGTCCATAGTTACATCAGGCTGATTTTACAATCTCATAACATCGAGTTCTCACATTCTCTTTAGCACAAGAATACTGAAGGTTTTGCAAGTTACATTTTTTTTTTTCATTGATGCCAAGCACAGCTTAACTATGAAATTGATCATCTCTGGTGTTAAAATAAAACCACTCAGCGATGGCTCTTTCAGATAGGGTTCTTAACATTTTAAGAAAAACATTTTTATATGACTTTAGGACAAAAAGGGGTTTATTGCAAGGATGCATGTTCCTGAGTACTTTGGAAAACTTGAGCTAGGCCTGGGCATGTGCTGCCGCTGTAGAGCTCAGACATCATGCTCACATCATTTGCTCACTCTTCCTCTTGCTTTCATTCTTTCCCTGGTTCTCTCTTAGAAGTTACCTGTTTCCCTTTATTCTTGTCCTCAATATCCTATCAACCAGCTTTCACCACATAACCATCTTGCTCACAGACACTGTGGCTATCAGCCCTTTCTCTATCCGGCTTTTTAGTTAAGAGCCTGAAATTTACCGTTGTCAACCTAAAATAACTAAAAGAGTCAGAATCTAGTTTAAAGAGAGTTTATTAAAGCACAACGTTTGAGGACAAGCTGTTCAGGAAGGACAAATTCCAAAGAATGGAAGTCAGAGTTCAGAAGTACGGAAGTTTGGGATCAGGGCCGGGCGCGGTGGTTCATGCCTGTAATCCCAGCACTTTGAGAGGTCGGATCGCGAGGTCAGGAGATCGAGACCATTCTGGCTAACACGGTGAAACCCCGTCTCTACTAAAAATATAAAAGATTAGCCGGGTGTGGTGGCGGGTGCCTGCAGTCCCAGCTACTACTCGGGAGGCTGAGACAGGAGAATGGCGTGACCCGGGGAGGCGGAGCTTGCAGTGAGCCGAGATCACGACACAGCACTCCAGTCTGGGGTACAGAACCAGATAGAGGGAGACTCCGCCTCAAAAAAAAAAAAAAAAAAAAAAAAAAAAAAAAAAACGTTTGGGATCACTTATAGGGACAAAGTTTAGGAAAGCTTAACAAAATTTCAGCATCTTTCTTCATAAGCCTTAATGGCATAGTTACAATTAGCTGATCGGTCCAGGTGGTGCTTTGTTTTGAGAAAAGTATATTTAACATTCCACACTGAAGATGTAATAGTCATGGGGTCTTGGGCGCCATCTGGTCTGAATTAGGTACCAGACAATAAAGGAGGCAGTTAATCTATAACAAAGAGGAGTAATCGGAAGTAGGGGAAGATCTGATATCTGGTATCTGCTAGTCATTTTTAGAACAAGAACAATCAGGAAAAGAGCCACTCTACCATCTAAGGGGCAGAACTGCAGATATGCTATGTGACAGTCCCTAAGGCTTAATTGTTTTCCTTGACATAATAAATGTAGATAGTCCTGACATTTTAATTTATTTTTACACTATGTACTTTTTCTATAGTTCTCATTTTATGCTTTCAAGAAAGAAAATCTGATTGGCTGAGCTTGCCTCTACCTGAGCTATAGATTCATCAAAAGTCTAATCAAGGTCCATTGTTGTACCAGGAAAAAGGGACTTTCCTCTACAGTCTGAGTGAGATGAGAGCTTTGATTGTGGTTGAGGGGCAGGGCATGACCTAATAAGAGATAAGTTATTAACATGATATGAAATCTAGAACATGAGTGTGAAGGCAGCATAGAGGAGGAGTAAAGCATTTTTGCTCTAAAGTCAGACTGCATGACATTAGAATCACAGCTCCACATACGGAACTCAATCTTCCTAGACCTATGAAATGGGCATACAAAGAGGACCTTCTTTATAAGCTAGTTGTGAGAATTAAATAAGATAATTTATGTTCCAGTCACCAAATAATTATTCAATACGTATTAAAAACACACAAGATGAAAGATTACCTTTTACAGAGAGGTCTAAGGAAAGCAAGAAAAATTGAAGGCACAAAGAATCTGAAATGGAGAAGCAAGAAACTCATATATTTTCTGAACAAAGGTCTTCAGCCTTCCTGGCAAAGTAGATTCTGCCAATGTATTAGATCTCTAGTGATCTTAGTCTGATATGACCATAATTCCAATACAGAAACAGTAAGGATAAACCTCAATGGTAGGGACATACAGCAGAGAGACTCTGGTTGGCATCTTTAAATATTTATATATTGTGTAGAATAATAACAGAAATACAGAAAACAGCCATAATGATAGTGAACATTTATTGGAGGTTCCCTACACACTGGGGCCTGCCTTAAGTGCTTTTTATGTATTAAGCCATTTAGTACTTATATCAAGCCCAGAAACTCTTATTATCAACATTTTAGGAACAAAGGAACTGAGGCATAGTGAATTCAAATAACTTGGCTGAGTAGCCAAGCTAGCAAGTAGCTAAGGTAGGGCTCAAAGCCTGACCTCCTGGAATGGATAATGCATTACATTGTCTCACTAAGAGAAACGTCCAATGGTAGCCCTCAGACTTTTTTAAAAAAATAAATATATTGACAGTGGGTGAAACAAATGAAATAACTTGAAGAAGAAACAAACTGCAAAAAAGTTTATTTATTAACAATGTAATAATAAATATGTAATTTTTTTTTTAAACCCTAACTCTAGGGGGAGAAAAAGCATTCTTTTTCAACTGATTACAAAAACAATCCTGGAAAGTAAAAGAAATAGTTGTTCAAAATGATCGTATCTGAAATCTTGCTGTAAGCTGTTTCCTTCATCTGTTTCCTCCACTAAAAAAAAAAAAAAGAGAGAGAGAAAGAAAGGAAAAAGAGGTTTAGACTAAACAGAGTCAGAGTTGCAGTGACCTAACAGGAAGTTGGGCTATTCCCAACTGCCAGTGATCTCTGAAGCGACTCTCAGGCTCCCTCTTTGCTCTAACAGACAGCAGAGACTTCAGGCTGGATAACAGTCAAATTCTTACCTCTCTCTTTCACTGCTAGTAAGATCAGACTGCGTTTCTTTCAGTTATTCTTCAATCCCCAGTTTCTTGATCTGTTTCTAAAAGAAGAAGTAGAGAAGATAAATCCTCTCTTCAATACTTGGAAGGAAAAACAAAATCATCTCAACTCCGTTTTGAAAAAAACAGTCCAAGAACTTTCATCAGAGATTTTACTTGTGAGTACCTGGCAATATACTGTCTAGCCCATGAGAAATAACTTCAATTTTTTCTTTCTCGGGGGGAAAAGCAGCGTGCTGAGAGGCAAAGAACTGATAGGGGAGGATCACTGTTTATTTGCCTAAAATGAAAATCAACCCTTCCCTGTAAACAAAGTAAACAAACTGAAATCCAAACTTGAGTTCTCAGTATTTTGCGTTTAATTCTTAAGCAAATTTATGTGCAATGTTTATGATTTTAAACCATAAACATTTTTGTAATGAATTGGTGTATGTAGCTTTTTTATAATTTGAAGATTGTAGTAGAATTCTTTACTAATTGTGCTTAGTTAATTGGAAGTTTTTGGAAGTTTGGTTTACCTTTCCATTTTATTTCGTAACATGTAATAAAGAGACTGTCAGTCTTCTATTCAAATAATCTTTCAATACCATTAGTTGATATTTAAAATGAGGTATAAACATTAAAATAATCGTAATCTAAATTGAATATTTTATGCCAGCATTAACTAATCTCTCTAAGGAAATATTTTACAAGTCTCCAAAGACCAAAGGTTATATTCTGAGATACCTAAACGAGAATACTTACGATCAAGTCTATATTGTGCAATTTTGTAAATTTAAACAATAGATAACATGCCTACATGATGTACTGTTATGTTCCTGTTGATTATAAAATGTTTGCTTCTAGTAAAAAATGAAAGAATATAATACAGCAGTAAACAACCACAGAAATATGAGAGAAACAGTTATTTAATTATGAAAAAGCACTCATTAGTTTAAAATAATTACCAAAAATAAGGGTCAAGAGTACTACCATGTGGGAAAAAAGAAAAGATAAGCAACAGCCACACTGTGACTCAGTGCTCTGGAAATTAGTCACAAAATGACTTTGTATAACATGAGATAATATAACACAAAGGGCAAAACTCAAGCAGGAAACATACTGCACAGAGAGTCACGTTTCATATGTAAAAGCGTAATATTTACATGATGGGCGAAATTTGTGACAATTTTGAGAGATACTGCAAAATTTTTGAACATGAAAAAATCTCCATAACACATTTTAAAGATTATTTTAAATTTATCATTCTAGTGCATGATTATTTCAATATACAGTATCCATATCTCATCTAATCCTTAAACTAAAGAGGGAATAGTCCCTGAAATTTAGTTGAGTATGAAATGTTAATTTGTGGCCTACGGTTTAATAAAATTATACAAAATATAAATAGGGATCAATAAAGACTGAAAAATATTAATGTAAATACAGATAACTAACACAATAAAGTAAAATTTCAAAATAAGAGCAAAGTTTTAAAATATTTATTTTTACCGATTTGAGTAGTTATATTGGAAAACCAAGTTTTTCTACTTCAGGTGACCACAGAATCTTGTTGGAAAAGTTTAATGACATATACTATTATTTGATTTCTGTCTCTATTAGGTATACTGAATTGGGCAAGTTTTTGTTTTGTTTTGTTTGCTTGTTTTTAAGATACAGTCTGATATCTTTTGTTTTACGTCCAATGACTAAATCAAAACTCGTTTTGGAAATGTGGTTCCTGTCCAAATGGATTATGTTATCAACTGGTATTTGATGGTCTGATTGATTGCCTGTATATCATTTGCTTGTTGATTGTGTAACTATTTTGACTAAAATCTTCTGTCATAAAACTTATTGTTAAATTAATAATACATAAAATGAGAACATATTTTGTAACAAACTAATTTTCAAAACAATTTAATTATGTTAAAAATTCATATTCTAATCTTATTTATTTACATCTTTCAAATTCAAGATATAAGTGGGCAAGATGGCAAACTAACGGAGAAAAAAATGCCAACTTTAGAGACTTAATTTAATACCAGAGTGCCTATCCATCTAACCAAATAGTAAATATGCTATCAATTACTTAGGAATGTTTGGTTGATTAAACTCAGTGTCACAAAATTTTAAAGTATCTTTCAACTGATATCTCTACCTAATACAAGAAAAAAATGCAAAATAAACATCCTTACAAAAATAAAAAGGAAGAGACAATATGAAAAGTGAAGACATTAATTAATTAGACTAGGATTTTCAAAAAAATCTTACCAGTATAAATTAATTAAATTGAATTACAATATAGGTTAACATGGGTTAATTATATCATCAATTTACTTTTTCTATGTGGACATGATCTAAGAATTGTACTACAATACAACTCATTTATTCACAATAAAGGCCTTCTACAAACAGCCATCCTTTTTTGTTTACCACCTATAGCAATTAACTCATCGGAAGAATTAAATTTGGCAGTTTGCCTTTTTAAAACACAAATATATTTTCATGCATTAGTGTCAAAGGTAGATTCTCCTATCTTTTATAGAAATATAGCAGCACTATAATTCTTTCTGATTGCTATAGTGTGCATTAGGAGAAACTTGAATTCAAAAGACATGTGTTTCTGGATATCAAATCTCACCAGAAACAGGGAAGTGTTCAAGTATTTCCAGCAAGTACTCTTCATAATAGACCATCTCTCCTGGCTTTCTGAGATCCTCACTGACTGCTTTCTTGGTGTTACGTATCAATGCCAGGGGCCCAGTCTTCCCAGTACCTTTCTCTCCCTGTCTTCACTTCTTCAAGTGTCAGGTGCCGAGTAGAACCACAGCCTGAGATTCAACTACCAGTAACTACCAGTTGTTGAGGGCAACTTCATCACCTCTACTTTTCTTCTTCCTCAAACCAACAATAACAGAAAGTATGGGCCCAAGTCAAATCCACTGTTTTCTCTTTAAGCCTCTATTTGCAATGTTGTGTCCTCTCTTAGTTGGAACAGCGAGGTGTTAAAATTATTTCAAAAACAAAAGAATATAAGGACATCATGGCCCATAATAGAAGTCCCAATGCTGCAATACAACTATCCCAATTGTTCCATATGGAACAATTCTAGGTCTCTGTATAGACTTAGAATTATTGCAAGGAATTGCCCAGTTAATATGTGAGTAAAAAATATTATATGTTGTTGATTAGGGCATAATAAAGCTATTTCAACATCAGAAATGTGAAAGTATTCATCAGTAGGACACTGATAAAATGTAAATAGTTTTTATTACCAAGCACAATGTGCCTTTGACACCCTCCAACTATACCACACACCTTCAAGTGCTGCCACCACACGGCTGCCAACCTAGTCTATCTCTCCTCCTCATCTTGACCCTTATCTATTTCTATCCAGTCCTTGAATTCTATGATAATTCACCTGAAAGCATCACTTCATTCCTCATTCCTCATTTCCCAAGGCTTAAAAGCAGAATAAATCTCAGAAACAGGGTAAGTCTCCAGAATAATGGTGTTTATTATGAATATTTTGGTAATATTTTAAAGTCCATTTAGGAAGCTTCAAAGATTAATTTTCATATCAGAAAATGAATCACAATGGTTATATTAAAATGTAATACAACTTTTTTCTAGTTTTTTGAACATATGGGAAATACTTTAAATTTTTAATATTTTTGTCTGCTAATTCTGTTTTTTATGTCATTTCTATGTCATTTAGACTTTTCTCATTATGAGTTATATTCTACTGCTCTTTGCATCCCTAGTAATTTTGATGTGGTTGCCTAATATTATGAATTTTACCTTATTGGGTGTTGGTGTATGTTGTATTTCTATAAATATCCTTGAGCTCTCTTCTGGGATGTAGTTACGTTACTTAGAAACTGTTTCCTATTTTGTTGTCTTGCTATTAAATTTTGTTAGGCAAGACCAGATAATTGTTTATTCTATGGTTAATTATTTCCTACTACTGATGCAAACAGCTGAGTACTATACTTAATGCTTCATGAACTGAGAGTTTTGCAACTTGGGAACACAAAAATATTCCCTGCTTTACATGTGTGGGCCCCTCTAACCCTTTTAGGTGGTGCTTCCCCCAGTCTTCAGACTTTTCTCTTATGAATGCAACAGATCAACTTTTCTCTTATGAATGCAACAGATCAATATTGAGCTGAAGACTAGAAGTCCATCTGAAGATCTCTGGATCTTTCTTTCTGTATAACTCTGTCCTCTCTGACGTTTGGTACTGTATACCCTAACTACCTCCTGAGACTCTGTCTGCTTTGTCTCCCAAACTGAGAGAGACCACTGGGTTCTTATAGAGTTCCTCCTTCCTGAACTTTCATATAGAAGCTAAACTGAGTCTCCACTCAGTCTGGTGGAACAAATGTACAAATGTGGGGCTAAACACTTGTTTCTTATCTCTATGAAATCACTGCTCTCCACTGACCAATATAATTCATTTTATTTTGCTTTTTTTTTATTTATTTATTTTAGGTGGGTGGAAAAATCCAATCCCTGTTAATACATTGTGGTTAGAAATAGATGGGCTTTTAAAATTGTATTTTCATAACACCTTAAAAAACAAAATATGAATATAGATTTTAAAAATTTAAGGGCACAGGGCCTGCAACTTTTAGTTTGCCTAAATAAGATAAACATACATTTATTGTTTATTGTATCCCAGGAGCTATGTTATATGAGTACATATGTGTTTATACAATGAAGAACATAAGATCACTGTTTCTAGAAAATAGTTATTTCATCTTATATGAGAAGTTTATTGGTTCATTATTTTTTCTAAATAAAAATAGCTATTCAGGAAGCTAAAATCTCACTCCCTTCTATATTTTAGATTACAAATGAGCTCCACATGCTTAAAATCAGTCAAGTGGTCACTTGTTCAACAGGCACTTCCCACTTGTCAGACAATGAGTGCTCAGGGTTAGGTACCTAGAGTTTTATCAGAAATTACAAATTGCTTTTCCCAATAGTTTCCTATCACAATTTCTTGTAATTGTCTTTCCTTCCCTGCTTCTTGGCTACTTTCATATGAAGAAAGCTGGGTAAAGTAAATACAAATTACAACTTTCTCTTGTTGTGAAAGGAAGCTTCAGGTGCTTCCTGCTCAATTTTTTTGCACCACTTGAGGCAAACAGATAATCCCAAATAAATGACA